TGTAACTGGAATGGGAGGCGCTGGGAGCGCTCGCTGTTGGCGCTTCTCTCCACCCACGATCTCAGCCATCCTTCCATGTAGGTTCTCTGTGCTCACACTGGCTGTTCCTTCCCCTGCCCACCTCCCAGCAGGCAGTGAGTGTTGATGCTGCTGGTGGACGAGCTTCAGGAGGCCCTGGGGTTTGGAACCCAAGGGTTTGGAACAGACTGGATGTGATTCCCAGCAAAGCAAAGCGACCCGGCGACATGAACTAAAATAGATGATGCTTTTAAGCAAATTGACAGAGTACCGGATGAGGGAATTAGTGGACTGCATCATTCTTTTCAGATGTTATTACGTACATTCTGTGTTATTTTAAAACGCCCCGCGCTGGCCGCACGCTATTTTTCTTAGTGTATTCAGACAGGTGTGTGATTTCCCAGGAGTATCGTAGCTCAGCCCTCTCTCTTTGGTTTAATTAACTTGAGGAGAATATTTTGAGAGGATTTTTTTTCAGTGTAACAGAGTATTCCTTATGACCTCTTTGCCTCTCAGTGCTGGTGGGACCCGCCTGGACCTCACGCAGCACTGCTCATCTGAGGCCATTTCTGCTCTGCAGAGCTGCGCAGCTGTGGGCGCCCACTGCTTTTGGCCCTGATGGGCTTCAGACTTTCTTTTGTGGGTTTTGTTGTGAAGAACAGAGCGGCTTTAGACATCATAGAATCATGTCAGAGGATCATAGAATGGCTTGAGTTGGAAGGGACCTCAAAGACCATCGAGCTTCAACCCCCCTCTCCTGCAGGTGGGGCTGCCAACCTCTGCATTTAATGCTATCCCAGGCTGCCCAGGGCCTCATCTGACCTGGCCTTGAACACCTCCAGGCAGTTGAAATAAAGATGGGATGACACAATAAAAATCAGTTTTAGAGCAGTGGGCCTTCTAGGGGAAGGGTTTTTTTCTGTCATCCGGGGGAAAAAAAGCTCTCTTTTGTTGCTGCAATATCTGCAATTCCCTTTTGGCAACTGGAGCTCCCTCGGCAGTAAAACATAGTTTTCATTAAATGATATGTCTGACATTTACCAAATCTTTATGGACAATTTAGAGGGAACTAGTTGCATTGAGCAGCCTTATTAATATTGCAGTAACATGATTAGGGGAACATCGCGGTCATTTGGGCCGCGGGGGCTTTAATTTACGAGCACAGCGGAGAGGCGGATATGAAGCATCAGCTGACCGAAATATCTTAACCTTAATTTGTTTTCTCTTTGCTCTCTCCTTGTGTCTGTTCCATGCTCATGACAAGATGAGCCGCTTTAGATTTTCATTATCCCAGCAAATAACTTGATTAAAAGAACCAAACAAAAACCCCTCCAAATGGGGCTGGGGGGCGGAAGAAGGCGCACGCAGCTTTGTTCGGCCCCGTGCTGGGGATCCCTGCAGAGCCCAGGGGGACACACTTGAAAATAAGCCTGGCGTGGAATCTGGAGTCTCTTTCCGGGCTGTAGCAGGAACAACTTGGGCAAAAATAGCTCTTCTACTGCTGTGCCCATTTATCTGAGAGCCGTGGTGGTAAATAACAGGAGGAGAGAGGGAAGCATCTCAAATCTCATCAATACTTAAGACAAAAGGCTCTCTGCTCTGCAATTACTCTTCCTGTCCTTTTCCCTCCTTCCCCCAGGCCACAAACAAGCAACCTAAATAGAGATCAGGCAGCTTTTAAATGCCACAGACTCATAAAAGAAGGAAATTCAAAGTTGTAACAGAGCCTTCTCTCGTTGCATGCTTGGTGCTATTTTGGGCCATCAGCAAGTAGGCTATCCTGCAAGCTCCACACAGTGGGACCAGCAATAATTGCACCGGCTGTGGCAGCGCAGTGCCCTGCTGTGAGCTCCAGCCCTTCCCTGCTGCTCTGCCACTCAGCTCTGGGGCAGCCTGAGGGCCGCGGGTGCTGGGGATGGGCAGCTGCACAGCCCTGTTAAAATGCTGTTTGATTATTTTCAGTTTTGTCCTGCATTCATGAACAGAGCACTGTGGAGCTGCAGATCAGCTCCTAATCAAATTGCTGTTATCATTCCAGTTCTGCTTCTTGCTGCTGTGGTTCCAGGTGGAGTTTTAGCACGCAGGAGAGCAGTTGCTTTTTGTAACTGATGCCACGCACAGGATCCCGCCTTACTTCAGATGCAGACTTCTCACAAACGCCTCTGAAGCGGACTGGTGGGAAATTACAGCCGCAGAGCAGTTGGTGCTCAAGCTTGCAGCTCCTTCCCCCCTTCTGCAAAGGTGCAGGTGAAGCCTTTGCATTTGGCTTTAGCAGTAACACCTCCAGAGGAGACCTGAGCTCCGCACCCGCTGTGTGCCCAGCGCTGCTATCAGCCCTCGATCTGCCGCGTCCCGCAGCAGCCATCAATTTATTGCTCTTGGCTGTGCTTGAGCAAGAGAGATAAGCGCAGGAGATCTTCCCTCTCTATTTTTTCCTACAGGAAGAGAAATATAGCAGCAATGTATATCAGGTTAGAATTGCCTCTCGTTTTATGAAGATATCTTTAGAAACCAGCTGTTTTCCACGAGCGTTAAACTGCCTTGATACACTGCTATCAGAATCGACAGCTCCAGAGATTTCCAAGAGATTTTGTTCTATCGTGTTTTATTTTATTTTGTGTAAATTTCGTTAACTGCTTTCCAGTGACCTCTGACTGTGTTCTTTTTTATCACAGAAATAAAAGAACAAAAAACTGATTTCAGCCTTGCAAAATCCCAGCAAGGAGCAAGGTTGCGCAGCTCAACCTTGTGGTCTCTCCACTCCTCATCCAAAATGAGGAGTATTTTACTTCCATGTCAAAATGTTCAAGACCTCCAAGCAGGCCATAGGACTTGTCTCAGTCAGTCGGTGGACTTGCTGTCTTCTTTACAGGGAGGAGGAGAGGATGAGTTGCTGGGGAGCGCCTGAGGTTCTGTTGCAGGTTATAGTAGGGTTAGGGTTATAAATGTTTGCATATGCAAGAAAAAAATCTGTAATTTCTGTACTGATGATGGCTTGTATTTCAGCCTCATGGAGGTACCCATGCCATACAGGCTGTGATCTAAAGGACTTTTTTTAATTTCATGTATTTATTTATTTCCACCTGTTTCATGGGCTGCTTTCCTGAGACGGATAACTGGGCTGGATTCGTTGGGGTGACCGTTTCGTTGTGAGGATCAGCTGCACAAAACCCTCTGCTTCCCACTGTTAAACGTGGCCGTGGATACACAAACTGTTGTTACACAGTAAGAAGGAAGGGGACAGACTCTTCAGCAGGCCCTGCTGTGATAGTACAAGTGGGAATGGTTTCCAAATAAAAGAGGAGAGATTTAGGTTGGATATATGGAAGAAGTTCTTTACAATGAGGTGCTGAGGCACTAGCACAGGGGGCCCAGAGAGGTGGTGCTGCCCCATCCCTGGGCGTAGCCAAGGTCAGGCTGCAGGGCTCTGAGCACTGGTGGAGCTGTGGATGTCCTGTGCGTTGCAGGAGTGGGACAATGTGACCTTTTAGGGTCCCTTCCAATTCAAATGATTCTGTGATCCTACGCAGATTGGGGAGGGGAATACTGTGTTTTAGTTTGGGTTCCACGAATGAAGATTTCCCTGTGATCACAAACACCTTTTCTTGTGAGCTGAGTTCCTATAGTGTTTGTTGGGCTCTGAATGCATCCCATCCAAACTTGGTGCTTCTTCCACATGTGAACTAATAGGAATACAAGTGAGAATCCAAACACATCCTGGAGCCGCTCTGTGACACAGCGGCAAGGATGCAGCAAAAGAAAGCATCCATCATTACTGCCTTCTAAACTTCCTGCAGTTCTGCTGTGGTCATTAGGCAGAAGTGTTCCTTGGGAAGGGCATCCCACCATCCCTCACCAAAGCCTCTTGCTGGTATGGGCAGCGTACGTTTTTAATAGAAGTGCCTCTCCTCCCAGTTCCAGAAGAGGAAATAAATGCACACATGTATAGGAATGTGCAGTGTGTGGACACAAAGGTCTGTTGTGACGCACTGTCACGCACTGTTGTGCTGTTTCTCTGAGGGAAAGCAGTGTAACAGAGGGTTCCCTCTCCCTGGAAGGACCCTGTTTGCTCACTGTGTGTCTGTGGGTTCAGGAGCTGTGCTTTATCGCGTGTCTCCAGCCAAGGACTGCCTATGGAAGTTGTTTATTGCAGCTGCTGCTAATGTTGTTTTTCTTTCTGTTCTTGGTGTTCTAAAACAAAATTACTGTGACTAATGTACCACTGTAAATTTCTGCAGCATCTACAGTGCTGCTGTCTGCGTGTGATGCATGGTGTCTTTTTAGTGTATTTTTTTAATATTTCAGCAGAGATGCCCCTTTTGTGTATTGGCTTAGCAAATGGCAAAGCACTTCTGTGAAATGCAGCGCAGCAAGAAGGTGTTAAGTCCTGTCTGCTGGACGTGTTTCTTTACTGATACCCTAAAGTGTCAATGTGCTTCTTAAGAGGAAAATGTTTTCATACATCTCTAAAGTCACGTTGCTCAAAAAAGAGGAAGTTATCCCACGTCTGACATCGATCTGAGTGCAAACAGTGAAAGTGATGTATGAACTGACGCTTTTCAGCTCCTGGTGCTGTGTGAGAGGCACCGGTGTGACCTGACCCTGCAGAGGCACTGCAAACAGAGATTTTTCCCCCCCAGAAATAACGCCTTTTTATCTCTGCGCTTTTCTTTCCTTCTAAGTTTCAGTTTGTATTTGAGCCCGAGAATAGCAGCCCTTGCAAAGTCATCGTCATTCTTATTTCTTCCTTCTTTTTTCACCAGCCATTGGCACTTTGTTACACGCCGGACTCTAAAGTAAAACTTGGCAGGCTGTAAAACATAGTTAACCTGATTCAAAGCGGTGAAAGGTGAAAAAGAAAGAGGTGCCAAATGTGGAATATTGCTTTTCTACAGAGACTTTCCTCGCTCTGCAGCGCACTGTTTCATAAGTTCTCTTGGAGTGTTTTTTGCTTTATCTCATTCTTTGTTTCTGGTTTGCAGACCGCAGAATGGTTCTATGATCCTGTATAATAGGAAGAAGGTGAAGTACAGGAAAGATGGGTATTGCTGGAAAAAAAGGAAAGATGGGAAAACCACCCGAGAGGATCACATGAAGCTGAAAGTCCAAGGAGTGGAGGTAGGAGAACTTTGCAAGTATTCTCCCTTTTTTTTCACGTGGAAGCTGTGTGTTTGTGATTGATTCTCACCAAACAGGTAATTTTCACAGTAATTGTCATCATTTTGCATATGCTCATTAAGAGTTGCTCTTAGAATGTGCAGAAATAGATTTTCTATTGAATTTAGACCAGAATCAGACTCTGCTTGAGAGAATGTTTTGAAAGAGACTGTTGCTCTACTGATGTTCCTTAGCAACTCAAAAAAAATCAGACGGATCATTTCACCTGACGCGGTGTTTCTGGAACGAGCCTGTTTGTTCTAAAATATGTCACCGTTTGACATAACCATTCTCCTACAATCTGTGTGTGAGAAATGAGCTATTGGATCGCATCAATCACTTCTGATGCGCAGGTGTGGATTAAAAAAATGAGGTTTTTAATTTTTTTACTGTATTAAATGGGAATTGCGTGTTCTGGTGGTTGGAGTTCTGATGCAAAGTTGGTTCTTAAGACAACAAGACTGTTCCCTGCGTTAATGCCGACCTTTGGGCCAAAAGGATGAGGAAATGTTGGGCAGCACGGTGTAGCTGCGTTACCCAGAAATGCTCTGATTTCAGCAAATGAATAGTGAAGCTGTAAGGGTATATATTTGTATAAGCTGTATTGATTTTTGTAGTTAATAGACTGTGAGCACCACTATGGATCTGAGGCTGCACCCGTTTGTGCAGGCGCAGCACAGAACAGTTCGTGGCGTTGTGAGGAACCGGTGCTGCCGAAGGGCCAGCGAGGTTCTGCCCACCCTGGGGTGGGAGCAGCAGCTGCACGGCGGCCTTGTGCTCGCGTCACATCCGCGGAGCTGCGTTCAGCCTGCGCTGCTCCCAGCAGTTGGGTGCATGGAATGCGTTCCGTGCTCACGCTCCCTTCTAGGCAATTTGTCATTCTTACATTCTGTCTGTTTTAATGAGGTTTTTGGTTTTAAAATAGTATTAAATGGATTGCATTATATTACACCAGGGAGACATAACTTTGTTCCATAATTTTTACATCCAATAACAATGTTTTATTATGACAAGCCAAAAAAAAAGTCAGCATAATAGAAATTGTAGTTTGTTTTTGTTTAGTGTTTGCAGAACGGGATTTAATTAAGTTCCACGAACTTTAACAATGCAGAATACCAAAACCTGTGCTGCAAACTTCAGCTATAGGACAGCAACCTTTGACAACCACACATATGCATTCTTCAGTGAACACTTCCTCATGGCTTTTTTTTTCTAAATAGGGTGATCAGCCATTAGTACCTGACTTCTTGTATGTCTGCACCTACCGCATTTAAGTCAAATACTTCTACTCTGAGTGCAGTAATTCCTATTTTGCTGCTTCTAGAAGGTAACACACCTTTAATGGAATGTACAAAGGGTCAGAGAATGCACCAATTTGAAGTTTCTTTCGGTGGTCAATCACTTTCACCACTTAAGAAAATAAGGGTCATAGTGATTTCCTTCTGATTTGAATGTGTCTGAGTTCAGCCACTCATTCTTATGTTTTTCTCCACTTTAAGAGCCCCTTAGTACTTTATATTTAGCCTCCAAGGAGATACCTGTGCCCTCTAATCCAACCTGTCTTTCAGACTTCTTAATGTGAAGCCTAGTAGGCAGAACCTGGGCCTCCTTGTTGTGATAAATGTGGGACTCACTCTGTGCTGCAGTGCCAGGGGTCTCCCAGCAGGTAACGCAGTGCACAAGCACGGATCTGGTTCCTGCACCAATGCTGTGGACAATTAATGGGATTTTCATCAGGCCTCCAAACTGGTGGAACACAGTTTCTACATAATTCTATGCATTAGGTAGCAAAAGGGGAGTATCAGAATCCAGATTGATCGTTTAAGCGTTGAAAAGAAATGGACGTTTTCTCCCTCAGGGCATCAGAACACGCAAAGGAAGCGATGATTCAGATAGCAGTGATTGATGTCAGGAGAAAATAAACCCACCTGAACAACCAAAGAGAGATTCAGGTCCCAATCAGAAAGTTAACTCCAGCATACGTTTGGAGCTAGGAGAGCTGGATCCATTGTGGAAATCTCTCCTGTACTTTGAGTACGTCCCATTCGCTTGTCTTTCAGCTTTGCTGACTTAATTCCAGCTGAAACAGGCAAAAATGAGTGCTGATAAGTAACAGTCTGGGTCAGGTGCACCATTCCAGTGTTTTCCGAAGGCTGTAGGACAGGTTTCCCTGCAGGATGAGCTCAGGTTTGCTCCACTTTGCTGCACCGCAGTGCTTTTCTCTGCAGCCCACTCTCAGGTCTTGCTGCTACCTGCTTGCTCATTTTGCTGACAGTGCTGCATCTAATAATTGCTACAGATCTGAGTTCTGAACCATGTAGAAAAAGTTAATTTTCTTGACCCCAAAATGTTACTTGGAAAGAATGATGTATTTTAACCTTTTTAATTACTAGCTCAGGGCACCCTGCACTGCTGCTTCATGGATAGAGTACGTTGTTATGTTTCTGATCCCATCCTAACTGGAAGTGATGTTCTTTACTTGGATGCAGGCAACAGATTTAAAATAATAAAAAAAGACCCTTTCAAAAGTTGGAATGATATTGTTGTTAACCACATTAGAGTTTAACAGGGCATGAAATAACTGTCTGCCTTGTGGCACTGCCAGATCGCGTTCGCTGTTCTTGCAGCCAGAAGATAAATAGGTATCATGGCCGTACTGATGGAAAAATACAAAGACAGCCAAGAACACAGATCGTATCCAAATCAAGTTTTGGGAACGGCAGTTGCTAGGTAAAAAGGAAAAGCACATTGGCCCATGCGAGCACTGACCAGCCAATTCTGAAACGTTCTTTGTGTGAGTGGATTTTACCACTAATGGCTTTCTGAGTTCGATACAGGGAATGGCTTCTGCATCTGTCCCAGATTTGGGTAAGGAAAAAAAATGGAAGCAGTTGCACTCTGGGATCTTCGTGTTCATCTGTACCATGCAGAGGGATTTGGTGAGCGTGGACAATGAAGAAAAACTAGAAAATCTAGGAAGGGGAATAAACTAATTAATCAAGCAGATGCTAAGTGATAACTGCCTGAAATGCTTAAGCTGCTGCCTCACTTAGCATCACTATGAGTAAGGGGTTCGGATATTACTTGGTTAATCTGGTGCACAATCCTCTTAGAAAATGCTTGATAAACCAGAAAGAAGTTAATTTGGCCTTTCCCTTAATATACATCTTTGTGCAATTCTTTGTGGAATCTATTAAAAATCTCCAGTCCGTGATCCTTTTTAAAATTCTAATTAATTAGGATCCCTGGTGATATGTTCCTAATCAATTCACATAATTAAAAATTTTAACTAATAAATAAGGAGTAAGTTGAAATAGCTGTCAAGTAGTTGCAGCCTGGTGCTGCTATGGGTTGTGGTTGGTCTGCGGGGCGCTTGGTGCATTTGCTGCTCCTTTTTCCACGCGTCTTTCCAGGTGTCCATCAGTTTCACATCCACACAAATTGGTTGCTCCTGCAATTAACGCGTGGTTGTATTTTTGTGGGAAATATCCCCGTGTTTTGAAAGGCTGGCACAGACGCTCTTGCTCTTTATCCTATATTGAAAACAGGTTTGTTCTTTCCAAATCCCATTGCCTGGAGAGAAGTTAGAGCAAATGGCTCTGCTAAATTTCAGGCAGAGCTCTGACCTGCTGAGCCGCTCTGAGCGTGAGCAGCGCTGCCTGGGATGCGGTTGTGCCAAACTGCTGCCATGAACCTGCTGCCCTACCGAAATCCAGTGGTGGAAGCAGCAGCAGCACCGCTTTGTGCGCTGCCTCTCATCTCCATACTTGTGTGGAAGAGGAGCAGTGCTGTCTGCTGGACAGTGAGGGCCCCCCTCTGCAGCCCCAGTTCGTTAGTGAGGCGGGTTCATCAGTTTTGATTTAGTCTGGCACCACTGATTTAAGATAGGAGCGATCAGAGAACAAGATGAGCGCGTTAAGCTTGTAGGTTTGAAATGTCTTGTTCTCTAATGTATAGATGTGTGTTATCTCAGTACAATATGACAATCTTTAGGAATTTCTTAAAAAAAAAAAAAAAAAAAAAGGTAAAACTTGATCTAAGTCTTATTAAGAGAGAAACTCCCTTGTGGGGATGGAGATGCAGAATACCAATTTTGCATGCAGGACTTGTATTTAATTATTATCATAACAGTCCCTTAACACTGTTACAGATTAGTCCACAAGGACACAAATGGAAGTTTTAGATTATTCAATTACTACAGAAACCCTGGAATATCACTGTCAGGACTTGACAGAGGCTCCTTCAGCTCGCCGTGAGCCCAGCCTGGCGCGCAGTGCGATAACGCCGCGATTCGCGCAGCGCTCAGCTGCAAATGCACAGCGGCGACTTCTCCTTTTAGGAGGTGACCAAGTGGGCTTTCCTGCATTATGCAAAGAACCCATCGCGGAATATTAAACCAAAGATGTTTTTACCTTTCAATTCCCCATCAGTGAAATGTACGTGTAAGTTATTACTGGAGGGCGAAAGCAACAAGCAACTTCTGAGATCACACGCTCAGCAGCACTAATCTTGTAAACTATTCCTAGGACAGCCTGATCCAATTCGCTTTAATTTACATGGGCTTTACTCCCCCTCAGAGGTGAGCTGCGTAGTTTGCAAACTAATTAGGATTACATTGTTCAGTCAGGCTGCTTAATGCATTCCAGAAAAATACTGCGGAATGGCTTTGGAGAAGAAATTAGAGTTTAATGTGAAAGGCTTTCTGAAAATATTACACACATATGTGCATACATTAACACAAAAAAGCACAGCCCTGAAATGAAAGGAGAAGAATTGCTCGGGAGTAGTGACAGTTCCTATACAAATCTATTCTTTATCATCGCTATTAAGGATTTTTTTTCCTTAGGTCGCTGGAAATATTTAACTTCTGCCATGTGATTTCTAACCAGAATCCCCCTTCATCTCCTGCAATTCATTGGAGGCACAGAGCATAGGCGTGTCTCCCCACTTACAGTTTGTGT